TGAAAATACTTTTGAGTTGTTTTATGCACCATGTTTCACTTTTACTTGTTTACTATAGACTTTGCACACCCCTTAAGAACTTATAAATGAAATGCATAATTTATCATGATACCCATATTAATTGATGCATATTTTTAATGTATTTGAGAAAATAATTTAAAATGAGCAATTAATACCGTGGGTATAACAGGAAAAAAGAAATTATGTTCTCTTGATATGCTAAAAAGTGACAATTAAAAGTGAAAATCTATTTGTAAAATATTGGACACGTAAAAATAAACCGAACGAGTAGTAGGTTTAAGTTATATACACCATTAATGTGAGAAATTTTTACACTATTCCGTATTCGTTATAGCAAGCAACCTATCCTATTTTAAAGATTACAAATTTTAGAAATTAAGTAGAAATATCCTTTTGCATGCCTTAAAAGTTTCGTATACACATTGTATATAAGTTATACTCTTTTTGTATTATATGTAGATAGATACTCCATGAAACATGGAATACACATAGATAAGGAGGATTTAACTCTAGTATAGGAAGCTGAAAAGTCGAAAATAGGGGAATAGTGTTGGGAAAAGAGGGATTTTTGATTGATTTTAAATTTTTAAGTGTTTTGTGTACTTTGTAGAGTTAATAGAGGCAATAGGCAAAAGAGTAGCTTCCAAAGCTGCCGTTAGGGTGTCTCGTTTTTCCCCAATAATCACATCTTTCTAAATTAATTAAGACAATATACATTTAGTACTTCAACAAATAATTGCATTATAATTTACTTGAGTACTTTTATACATTTAGAAAAGGAAAATAAGGTTCAATGCAAAGCAATAATTACCAGGGAAATTGTAATTGTAATTGTACAAACAAGAATTAAATAAAATAAGCTAAAATAAATAAATAATGTGTTTCTTCCTAGTTCAAAAGTCATAAATGATTTCGTCTTTGGCAGGGCAGTACTCTTGTCTTTTTGACGTACTCTCTGCAGCATTTGTTGGGTTAGAACTTTTTATGTTAGCATCAACAAAAACATAGTACTACTACTAGTAAATAATACTCTAGTATAATTAATGAAGTAAAACATTGGTAAAAGCAACCGGCAGAAATTAGCAATCTCTAACACATACCATATTCGAGGGAGGTGTTCTGATTGATGAGACGCGAGACGATGTTAATGAGAGGCTCGAGGTATGGAGGCAAGTCCTGGAGTCCAAAAATTTCAAGTTGAGTAGGATTAAGACGAAATATCTAAAATGTAAGTTTAGCGGCGTGACGGGGAAAGCGGACGTAGAAGTGAGGCTCGACTCACAAGTCATCCCCAATAGAGAAAGTTTCAAGTATATAGGGTTGATTATCCAAGGGATGGGGAGATCGACGAGGATGTCACACACCTATTGGGGTGGGGTGGATAAAATGACGGTTAGCGTCTGGAGTCATGTGTGACAAGAATGTGCCACCGAAACTTAATGTTAAGTTTTGTAAAATGGTGGTTAGACTGGCCATGTTGTATGACTCTGAGTGTTGGCCAATCAAGAATTCGCATATTATCCAGAAGAAGTAAACGAAATGAGAATGTTGAGATGGATGTGCGGACACACCAGACTGGATAAGATTAGGAATGAAGATATTCGGGAGAGGGTGCACGTTGCTCCCATGGACGACAAGATGCAAGAGGCGAGGTTTAGATGGTTCGGGCACGTGCGGAGGAGAAGCCTAGATGCCCCGGTTTGGAAGTGTGAGCGGTTGGCTTTGGCAGATACGAGAAAAGGTAAAGGCGGGCTAAGAAGTATTGGAGCGAGGTGATCAGATAGAATATGGCGGGGCTTCAGATTTCCGAGGACATAGCTCTTGATAGGAAGGTGTAAAGGTCGAGCAATAGGGTTATAGGCTAGGGGGTAGTCGAGCGTTTTTCTTCTTTGTACCGACTAGTCTATAGAGTTTTGTCTAGGATTGCTAGCGGTTTATATTGTGTTCACACTATTTTTTTCATTTTGCATAGTATTGTGTTATTGACCTTCCACTTTTTGATGTCTCTTACGATGCTGATATTATTTTTCTGGTTTCTTGTATTGTTACGGATCTATTCTTTAGTTCTTTTCTGATATTATTGTCTTTTCTGTTGAGCCGAGGATCTCCCAGAAACAGCACCTCTACTCCTCCGGAGTAAGGGTAAAGTCTGTGTACACTCTATTCTCCCCGGATCCTACTAATAAAATTTTACTGGGTTGTTGTCGTTGTAACACTGCCGGGAGAACAATAATGAAATTACATTTTCTTGTACTTCTTTTTATAGGGTCGACTTTCTTAGCTCTAACCATTGCAACTATTGCACAGAAATTTTTAATGGTTAAAGAATGGATTAGGGGCTATTAGTTAAATGCATTTGCAATTAAGAGAACAGAGAGAGTAGGATAATGGGGTCATTTCTTGAGGTAATGGCCAGCCTAAACCAACTAAGAAAGTAAAAAAGAGAGAGACAGGGTTAGTTATACAGCTGTTTTATAGTGTTAATTAAGGTTATAATGTCATCATTAAGTTTTAGATGAAACAGTAGTAATGCCTGGCAATCACTAACATCTCAACACAAAAAAGACCCATCTCATTGCATCATTATTTTTCAAAAGTCAAAATAGGTCCCTTTTTTTGGGGGTTTGTTGCTTCATTTCACTCCAAAATACCGTACCAAATTGCCTGTGCCAAATTCATTCCATCATTTCTTTTACCTTCCAAATCTCTATAGTTCCCTGTTGAACCTGATTTATCATCCTGACTTACCAATGAGTAATTTAGTCACTAAGAGTTTAATTGTTTTACCAAAAAAGAGCTTAACCTTTTCTTAAAACGAATTAATGAGAAAATGGGGAGGTGAATCCTAGTTAAATATAATAAATCCTAGATCCGAGACAGGGGTATGTCTGTGATATGGGACCGTGTTCAAGAGCAATAAATATCGTATATATGTTCAATGATTGTCAATGAATGTAGTAATAGAAGCATGCAATAAGTGTAGATAATGACAATAAATGTAATAAGGAGGAATTTATAACCCAAATGTTAGATGACTTGGGTGATTCTTCTTCCTGACAGCAATGTGGAATAATGGAAGTAAGGATGGATAAGAAATCTTTGGATCTTGTAGACAAAAAATGAACAAGACAAGCTTTTGTATATTCTCTCTAGTCAACCCTTTACAATGTGCTCTTAAAAGTGAAGAAGATCCCCTCTTGTTCTTTATCTCTTCCTATTTATAAGGGATATTCCCAAGAAACCCTAAAAAGTACAACATAAAGAATATCCAATGGAATATTCCTTATGTCTATTACTAAACCTATCCTACCGTTGCTTCCTTGCTTCCTTTATTTGATCTCGGCAATAACCCCTCTTAAGACGAGTACTCCTCGCCATTGCGCCGTGGTCGGCTCTGTCCTCGACCATGTTTATTTGCAGTTATCAAGCCGCCCAAATTTAGATCAATACATTAATTTCGATACATTGTCAGGACGTGAATACTTACACAATTAATATATTTATTAACAAATTACATGTAAATCTTTACGATAAATCACATACTGTAATAGGTTAAATTATATTGATCCTAAAACGCATGTCAAATCTTTCGATTTTGTTTCTTTTCCACCGGCTTATATGCACTCAAGTAGATTTAGCACACGCTAATATGATCTTTTGAATTTCATCTATTACAAAACAATCGTCATACCTCTTTGATCCATTTAGTACCATTCTCAAGACACTAACCCAATCCGAGCCATTAATAATTAGAGGAATTGAGGATACAAAACGCTTGATGGTATTACTTGTTGTACTAATATTTACTTTGGTAATTCGATTTCTTGATGCATCTGCCATGTTATCAAATGTAGCTCTAATGTATGTTTTCTAGGCCATGTCAAAATGGATTCTCATTAATTCATCTCTCAGCAAGTAAAAACTGAAGGAAATAACAACGAAACTCACGAGCACACATGAGAATTTGACAAAAGTCAGAAGGAGATACGCTTTTTACTAACTACGAAAAATAGTAAGCACCATCTGAGGTTGACTACTCGAGACTTTTGAATCCAAATATATATTGGTGTAATGGGACACTAACTTGAAAGGGCAATGATAGTGGAACACCGAAAGCCATCTCAGCACTTTATACAGTGAAATGTTGAATCTCTACTGCCAGAGGAGAAAGACTTTAGATTTAGGGGTCGTTTGGTTGAAAAGATAGGGATAACAAATTCGGATCAAATGCGATATTATTTTATTTGATATTTAATTATGATTATTAATTAGTACGAAAAATCATTTTAAATTAAAATGTAGAAGGCAAGATAACTAATCCTAGAAGATATCGCAAACCATGAGATATTTTTGTCTATCTCTTCCTGGTAACCAAACGACCAATTGGTTTAACATAGCCAATTGATAGTGGTTTAACATACTCAAAACGACCATTTGATTTTTCTGGTTCATATGTCTATTCATCGGATTATTGCAAATTTCAACATGATTTGACACGACTATCATCATCATAAACATGATGCACCATTGTTCTGAGAAAGAGAACATGCAGGCATCCCGAACTTATAGCATGCTTGGTCAAGCTTCTCCAAAATTTTTTTTTGTAAGGTTGAAGTGTTTAGCCAAACTTTTAGAAGAAGAAAAAAAAAGTGCTTTTGAATAGAAGCAAAAAAAAGTACGTTTATCTCCAAAAGCACTTTTGAGAAAAATACACTTAAGAACCACTTTTTTACAGTTAGGCCAAACATTAATTGCTACTCAGAAGTGCTTTTCAAATTAATTAGTCACACACAAACTGCTTCGCACCAAAAGTACTTTTGAGAAAAGCACTTTGACATCTCAAAATAAGCTAATTTTAGGAGATTGACCGAACATGCTATTATTTGGAATGTTGTTTCTATTTTCCCCCAAAGTTGATATTTCGCATATATGTGTGATGCGCCCTTCTTAATAGAGTGCTAGTTGAAGCAAACAGAAACTGAGATGGCAAAGAACAAATACCCACTGGGCACATATTGTTTGTATACATGCTATAGAAGTCACTGAATGTTGAATATCTTCTACCATTCATGATTGAACCCAGTAAACTACAAGATCGGTTACTGTCCGACAGAATTACCACACAAGTTATCCAAGCCTTGAATTTTCGATGTTAGACAAAAATACAAATGCCTAAGCGAAACTTGTTCAGTAAAAACCTATATGCACATCTCATATCTTATTTTTTTTCCCCACAAGCAACTATGCACATTCTTCACCAAAGCATGTCGGAATGTGGCCTCAGTAAGGTCGCGGAGGATATGTTCCCTGGTATGGACCTGATCGATAAGAAAATTAAAGATACAATCAGCTTTTGTAGAGAAACTAGGAAAGAGGGAAAAGGGAAAAAATTTAACTGTCAAGCATGTCAAGCATAGTCACCTGGGGGATAAGAATAGTCCTGTGATGGTGGTGGATAAGATACGGGAGGATATGCCGAAGGTGGTGGATAAGCTGGAGGATAAGCAGTCGTTTGAGGAGGAGGATATGGGGTTGGTGGATATGCAACTGAATGAGGCGGGTATGCAGGGTATGGAGATGGTGTTTGATAAGCCGCTGCTGGTGGATAAGAAGCTAAATGTGGTGGAGGCACGGAGTACATAGGTGCTTGAGGTTGCGGTGCTGCGTATGGTGGAGCTGATGGAGCATAACTTGTTGCTGGCTTCTGGGAATTTAAAGAGCAAACATGTCAAAAATATATTAGAAAGATGACTATGGGTCTCTTGAGAGTTCCGCAGATCACAGTACTACTTACATTGGCATTAGCATAGTGCATTATCAGTCGAACTTCTCCAGCATGCCTGCAAGTAATGAGACTACAATAATTACAACTCCAAGAGCCAATACAAAATGACCACTGAACATCCACTCAATTTGACGAGATAGATTTAGAGAATCTCAAAACTGAATTGATTGCTTATTCAGATACAGAGTCCTATATGAAGGTTCCTTATAATCACAATGGTGTCCTCGAGTTCCATATGAGACACAGATTCATAGTCTGGGATAAAATTTCAGGTCTAATTGCAGGTACCTTGATTGCTAAAGTAAGGGTCACAAATCTGAACAAGGAAAAGTGAGACAGCGACGGTGCCCCCAAGGTTACAGTGAGAAAAAATAAGAGCGCAATTCATCTAGGAAAAAAGGCAGATGCCTATGGGTGAAACTCTCTTTGTCTGCTTTTAGTTCTTCATACAACAGATAAAAAAGACATGCTAATGTTTTTGCATTTACTACTTTCCTCACATAAAAGACACGCACTCCCCAGGGGAATATTTTTGACTCAACATCAGGAAAGATACAGATTATCCAAAAAAACAGCTCTCTTCTATCAGTTATACGGAATCATATACTCCAGATTTTTTTTTTTGAAATGGAAATATACTCCAGAAAATTGAAACCCAGCTTTTCACCTTCAAGAATCCGTCAAGAGCTGGCACCATAAACAACCGACTTCTATTACCAGTTCTATGCCAGGGGTCACCAAAAAGTTTATCCATCTGGTTGAATTGGCTTATTTTAGAAGGCCAAACCGACTAAGAATTTCTTCCCACGATTAATAAATATAAAACCTCAACTCTAAGCAACAACTCTACTTCTGACTTGAGGCATTCCCCAGGCTCGCAAGATAAACTATCATGTCTGCCATTGGTCTTTGCCAACACAGAATGCATGTCTAAAGGGATAGATTAACTCCTTATGAAAATGACTGATTCATGACCTAGTAGGAAGAAAGAGTTCTAGCAATGGCACTAGTTCTAAATAACTTTCAGCAAAAGATTACACTATAAAATGCTAAATTTTACAAATACTCTAGGCCCTTAGCCCAAGTAGGTAAAAACCAGAAATAATACAAGCTTATCACTAACATGAAACAAATATAAGCAAGGTTCTAAACTGCAGCAAACAGCTAGTCAAATACTTCGCAAGATATAAAGTGAAAGAAATGAGATGGATCAGTCAAAACCCTGATTCATGGACTCAAAAGACCATCTCATAGTCTTTTAAAGAGGTTGATCATACATCTTCCATACCAACAAATAAAGTTCATTCAGAAATAGAAACAGAAGAAAATAGAAGGATATCACTATTAATAAAGGATGGGATATGAATATCAACTACCTTAACCCACTCCCAGCTCGCAGGCCTTTATAAAGCAAAACAGTACGTTACTGCCCCTTATATCCTTTGATTTTGGCACAAGTGACAATGTTTATTACAATCTGTAGGTTACTGATCTGAAGTAGGCAAACAGAAAAATTGATGGAAGGACTTTCTGTAAGTCTTTAGTTGAGTTATTATTTTCCTGGCGTTGTACCAACAAGATATTCTCATTTATGGTTTAAATGCAATTACAGCAGGGTCCTAGACCCTTCAGATTTCTCAATGACTTTATGATACTTGTCTTTGATCACAGTAATGCAGGAGGGATTTGTACCAAATTTTCATTTTTTTTAAATCTCTTCTGCTTTAAGCGATGCAGCTCTTTCAGAATAGGTGTTCTTAACAATAGATTTGTACTTTGTTATGTTAGGAGAAACCAATCTCAGTAATATAAAAGAGTTCATAGAATATAATAGCAGATAACACTAAGTTTTATCAAAGTGGGATGTACTAGAATACTAATTTAACGTAATAAAGAAAAAGGTAACTTTGAGTTCAAATATTTATGAACGGCAAAGCAGCAGGAAGAACTCGAAAGTAGTTATTCAATCTTTACTAGTAGTAGTTTAGGTGACAAAATGAAGAGATTTAACAGTGATCCTAAAGTTACAAAAGCTTGAGTTCGTCAACAAAACCAATCATCAAAATACAAATTGTCACTAACCTTAACAAAAAGAAAAACACACATCGTCACTAGAGCAAACAGGAAAAATTAGAGCTGATAAATTTACCTGCCAATCTTGGTCTGGATTGGCCAAGCAGTATCATCATATCCTTGTGAGAGAACTTTATGTAGTTGAATCCTATAATTAGCAAATTCAACAAATATTAGTACTCTACTCTCTGTGAAGCAAACATTAAACAAGTTTGAGAAAATTACTTTCCGCTCCCTATAAAATCGTCATAGGAAATGGTATTGCTATTCCAAACGACAACATTAATCTCTCTCAACCCTTCAATGAGCGTAAACACAAATTTCTCTTGAAATGTAGGGTTTTTTCCACCATCTACAAATTAATTCCAGAACAAATCAATAACAAAAGGAGTAAACTTTCACAAATTACAATACAAAACAACAAACAATTACAAGGTATAATTAAAAAAAAAAGTACTAACCTGTGCAAGTACGAGTACGAAATTTGGTACTACCATATTCAAGACAAACATAAGGATCTTGCCTTGATATCCATTCAGTGTCCTTCAATTTGTTGCAGGAAACCACTGCCAAAATGATTGCAAATAGAGAACCAAATTAATTAATCATAAATCAATAAAGGGTAATTCTCTTATATCATAAAGAAAAGAAGAAAGTCATGAAACTTTTCATACCCGTAACTTCTAGAAGTTGGCCTTGGATGCCAGATATCATCGACATGGAAGAACGCAGATTTTAATTATCACTATTTTTGAATTTTGGCAATCAGAAAAAATGACGAATTTCTTTATAGGTATAAACAGGAAAGTAACAGAGAAGGTCAGAAGGAAAATGTCCAAAACCAATTAAAAATTGAGAAGAAACGGGTTGAAAATGACAGGGAACTATAAGTAACGGGAAAATGGAAAATCTTGAGGGTTTGTTCTTTACTGCCGATAATTGATAAAGACAGAAGATATACCCCCTACGCTACGTGTATATAGACTTTCTGCCGTGGATTTAAGGCGGCGGAGACTGGCGGGTGGCGGTTTCGTCGTCGATGAGTAAACACGGCCAAGGAAACAGAAAAAGCGTGTAAAGTGTACCAGTTTATTTGTCTATCCGCGTCACTGAATTAATTGAGATATACGCCTTTTAAATTACAAGGAAATTCATCAATTATTTTGGTAAATGTTTTATATGTGACTTATGGGTCAGGTTTGAGCCGTGAAATCAGTCATTGTTAATTGCATCCGGATAGATGGCCTATAGCATACCCCTTGGGCTGCAGCTCTTTCCGAATATTGCGTAAACGCATAATACTTTATGCACCGAGCTGCCTTTTTTAAATCAATATTGGAGTAATATTTGTCATTATCATTCCAATTTTATGTGATGAACTTGGATGGAGTATTTTGTATTTCTCTTGGTATATGATAATATTGGTCTAATAATGTTCCATCAAATAATATGACGGAGAAAGCATATGTCTGCATCTTTTAATAAAAGAAAGACTCAGGTCATTCCACCACAATAAATAAGAAGAAATGTCTGCATCATTAATATAAGACTAAGGTCGTTCTATCATACGTAAATAATACTACTACATAAGTTGAAATTGATTGGACTGTCCAAAACAGCATCGTACATGTTACTTTATCATAGGGTAGCTTATTAAGGTAGAATGATCTACCCTCCCTATATTCTCACCAATATGCGAGCTCAATAATTCGTAATTACCTCAGATTTCCAATATAGTTGTAGAACCATTCCATTGAGCAAAATGTTTTAATTCTTAGCAGTACCTTTTCTTTTCAGGAAAAGATAAGGCCTTAACTACATTAAACAAAATAATTGCTTTTTGTATATTTCTTCCCAAATTTTAGGTTGGTTCTGGTTGGGGCAGGCATTTTGATTATCTGCAAGTCCTGTTCGAAATGACTTTGGGTATATTATTTTAATTTAATCTGGACGGAAAAGGCCAAACAAAATACAGGTTAGCCGGAGTCGTAAATTATTGACAGATATATTTTGATTTTTGATAATAAATTATTGGCAACTGCTTTTAAGAAACACGTACACAAAAACGATTTATGCTGCAGCTAATCATATTTCTAAGCTGTACATATGCTTATTTGGGCTCACCTTTTCTTTTCTATCAGAATACAGTAACTACCACTATCTTTGCCAGTTCAGCCACATCAATCTTTTGGCACTTCAATCAGTTCCTTTTGATGGCACTCCGAATACCTCTACTGCCTTGTAGTAAAGTACATTTGGTATTGTTCCATAGCAAATTTCATAACGCTATTGCAAATTTAACACAATTTCAACCCAAGGTCTACGTGACAGAGCGCATCCAGCATAGCTTTATCAAACTGATAATCAAATGCAAACCATGAACAAGTAAAATGCTAGTAAAATAAATGAAAATGAACGGAATCCAACAAGCTAGATCCTAGCACCCCCAAGCTATTATGTACATCTTGATGAATTTGCCCATCAGACATTTTTATTCACTTTCATAATCCTCTTCATCACCAAATGAGAAAACAGATGCATCAGCTGCAACTACCTTGAAATCACTCACTCCTCCAACCGGATTGGAAACCTCAATACCAGGTGTAGCTCCGACTGAGCCATCTCTTTTAGGCTCGCTGTGTATAGAGCTTGTGCCTCCCAACGAGACTTGCTCTGTCTTATGTGTCAAGCTTGATAATTTATCTGAATCATTATTGTTCTTGGACCCAGGGGGTTTTGCATCTGCAGGAGCACTAGCTTCAGAAGCAGCTTTAGTTTGTCTAGTCTTTGACATTCCAGATTCCTCGGATTCATTGTCTGAGAACACGTCGTCCTTGTCACTGTTCCCAGGGTGTTGGTTCGTGTTACTTCTGGCAGCAGGCTCACCGCCTGAGGTAGGGTTGGATCCAGGGGCAGGATTAGCACTTGAACTGTCAGCTGATTCTTTGGTGGCAGTTTCTGATTGGGGTCGAGTAGGGAAGGCAGCATCATAGTCCACAAGGACTACTTCCACTTGAAAACCAGGTGATGGTAATTTTCTCTGCACAATAAGGCCAGCATATCACACAGTCACGCAATGAAGACATTATATAATAGAGAGATGGAAGAAGTTCTCTGAATTGCATTAAGATTTCTCTTATAGTACACAGGCCACAACACCTACTGAAATCAGTAATATTGGTAAAATCCACTGAATTGACTAAAGAAGTTACCTTGTCAAAACCATCAAGGTCGCCTGTGGTAAGAACTTTCCTGTTCTCTATCATTGTTGTATTCAGCCAACTGAAAGATCACGAGAGGGATATGAGTTCCAAACTAGGAGGCAAGCCCCTGTGTCTAGCTAAGCAGTGGGGATGGAAACTAGTAAATCAAACAGAGAGGTTTCACATAAATGTACTGACAAATCCCAGTTCATCCTTTTCTTCCCAATGTAAAGTACAATATGAAGCCTTTGTTGATGAGTGATGGCAAAATATAACTTCCCAAACCCTTATTCCAAAGAGTCCTCACTCTAATAAACAGAAATTTTCTCCAAGTCCTTATTTCAAATTAATTTTTTTCTACTTAAAACTTTTAAGTTAATTTTACTGCTTAAAGCTGCATAAAAACACCAATTTATGTAAAAGACAAATTTGGGATTCTAACTAATATTGGTTGTCAGGGTCACAAATATATAACTCGAAAATTTGTAATTTAATAAGCCCTAATTTGTTACATAAACAATATACACTCGACTTATCCAGCGACATGTTAATAGTATTTTGCTTGAATGGTTCTTATTATATTTCATGACCATTCTTTTAACATTTAACAAAGAAGTACTTGTTCTATCCCACTATGGTGGTACTGGTACTAGTAGAAGAAAAGCAATGAAACCATAGATAATAAGCTGGACTGAGAGGCAAAAGATATCATACAGTAAAATTTGTAAAAGTTGTACAGAATGATTTCTGCAAAAGCATGCCAAGGTGGTAGAAAGGGTGTAATTCAGCAATAAACCTACCTCTTTACTATCAATATTCAGCAGACACCTACTGGCAGAACCAGGATTTTTCATTAAGGGGTCAAGATATAAAGAAGTAAACCAACGAAAAAGCCAAGGGATGTCAATATGTAGTATATAATTATATATACATAAAAAAAATATACCCAGTTACACAGTGAAATTTCCCGACGAAGGGGTGTCACTTGACACCCCTTGAATACATGTGCACACACCTATGCAAATAAAATTTATAGTTCGAAAGAATTGTAAAAGTGCTGCAAGCAATAGCGCATTATGCATAAGATTAGAAAGGAAAAATACGGAAAAATAATATCCTTTTACAGGAATCAGGAGTGGCCAGGAGATGCTACTGAACCTAAGGTCCTTAAGAATTATTATTCGACTTAATGGTCCATTAAAGCATGCAATTTTCCTTCAAGCTCTGAATATTGGTAAGCTTACCAATAAAAGTCTCCTTGACCGTCATGAAAATGGATTTTGAAATCCCCAGCTAACTCTGCAAGGCCAGGCTCGCCTGGAAGAGCAAACACCATAACCCCTTTCTTTGGTGCACTGAACCAAAAATCCTCAGGCTGTGAGAAACACATAATATAATAATGAGAAAGAGAAACAAAGAGGATGAGCTTGAACAATTATAGGCACCAGCTAAAAGGTATTAATTGCTGGACGAAGAGCAGCTTCAACAATTTATAAAGATATTGATACCCTTGTTAGGACCAGCTTGTGAGCAGCAAATGAGGAGGTACACAAGTATAAGGCTTATTTTTTAACCTCTTTAAGAATATAGATGTACGTGAACAAGAGACACAAGCTACACTAGTACCTCCGGGATATCAGAGATTAATACAGCAGGTTCGACCCCTCATTAAGAATCCAATACTAGTATGACCTCAATGCTGTAGTAGTTTATAAATATGTAGGCAGTAACATGACACAACACATTGCTTAAACCTACCGATAGATCCTTGGTTCTTGGATATTTTTTTGTTGAGAAGAGCACACCTGCAGATAAATGAACCACCAATGAGAAACCATCATGAAGGAAACGCACAGCAGAGATTATAATGCAACAGAAGAAGGTACTGCAGATAAAACTCCAAAACTGTTAGCACAATATTAGGAAAATTCTGCACAACACTTCTTAGTAACTCGTAGGCATCTCCGAACTTATTCAGCCAGCCTTTTCAGACTCCAAGTGGGTACTGGTTATTCAATGCCGAAGCCCGAAAGTAACTCGTTCAAATCACATCAGGCAAATGATAGCAACTACTGAATTAACATTGGATGTAGCTATCTCTTTGCAGGAGTATAATTTTAACTTAAAATAATAATCTAGAAAAAGGATGCAAGTTACCATTATGATCAGATACTGTAATAGAAGGTCTTATCCAATAAGGGCACCTATGGAGGCGAAATCCTCTGAGCATGCACCTGTAAGAGTGCAGTTGACAAGGAGTAAAATTAGATCCTTTATCTTTGACCACATTTTTCCTCTTGCAATTATATCAGAGAGAAAATCCAAAAGTGCATTTGACGCAGGGGCAGCTCAAGCACATATGTGGCCTAAAGCCAAAGTTTAATATGAGGCCTATTTTAAAAGCCAAAGTGTGTGTGTGTGTGTATTTGAAGTCAATTCTTCTAGCTTTTTGAGATAAAAAGTTGTTCATAATCGATTTCTTCCAAAATTTCCTTTTCAATTGATAGTTTAGCATTTAATCTTTCTTGAGACATTGTTGATCTTAACAAGGATTATATCAATTTTAATTTTGAAAAACTTCTTCCACTGAGCTATTATAGGAATTGTTAACAGTACTCTATAAGCAATAATATTTGAAAAAAATTGAATCAAACATTATTAATTGAATGAGTATATAGTATCTTTTACTTATACTATTTACTTTGTCAAATCAATTCTAATTCATACGTTAGAAAAACTATTCATACAACCCATTTTTAAGTAAGTTAAACAGTTACTTTTACTTTATTTACATGTCTAAAAAAAATTCTTCCCTTTTACATGAAAAAATCTACTTTTGTATTAAAATAACTATATTTTATTTTTTTTAAATATCTATAAACGTATTATTTCTAAACCCCCCCCCCCCCCCCCCCCCCCCC